GTTTATTAACTTTATTAGCTCACCTTGTTTCTGCTTTCCTAAGCCCTTTCCCTCCTTGTAACCCATTTTTGCCATCATTTTCTCAGCATTCGTCATCGGTTTGCTTCGCTCCATCTCTTCATTCGGTGCGAATACCTTCTCTGGTGGAGATTCAAGATCATCAGATGAGGAGTCGGACAAGTGACCGTCTGCAGAATCATCCGTGTATCTTCTTTTGCCCTAAAATTCCTAAGCTCAAAAGATTTTTAAATCCTTCATAGTTAAAAATCGACCTTGTAATGATCATACTCCTCTTCAAAAGTCTCTTTCAGATCTTCACGCTTGGCTTTGGTGAGGACAGACATCCTATGATCTCTGGCGCTCGATGGAGCATCGGGTTCAGAGTCCTGTCACGGAAGGAGTGATAAGGAAAATTATGCATACACGTGCAGAGAACAAAAATTTCTAAAGAGAGGTTCTAGTCTACAGATCGAAGAATTTCGCAAATCATAAAACCTCTCTTCATCAACATATGAAACAACACAAAGTTATGCACTTTATTTCTAGTTGGCTTTCAGAAACTTCTTCTGTATTAATCAATTCGAAAAATTAGATCACTCAATATCCTTGTGCATTTTAAGCAGTCAATGGTTCCAAAATTCAATGAAAAAATATATACATGCGATAGGCCACTTACAGAAGATTCGGCAAACATCCTAGTCGAGCAAATTAGTCTCCAACCCGATAAGGAAATGTCGATCACCCGATGCTGCAAATTGAATAGAAGTAGATAAAAGGTTATATGTTACGAAGATATTGGAGAGTTAATCAAACGCAAATTGCATAATGGCATCGAGATAGAGTGCATAGTTGAATAATATACAAAGGGACAAAGGATGAAAAAAAACACTCCTTTATCTTCAAAGCTAAATTTCGATATAATGGTACGGTGAAGTAGGAAGTCCGCGCAATACATTTAGGCTGCAGACGCGAAATTGCAGACTTTATCCGGAGAATGACGCGTTCTTGTGTGCATTGATGCGTCCACGTCATCAGATAATTTCTTTCACTTCTTTAAACGCCACACGTACTTTTGTGTTTGTTCAGTTCAACCTCATCGGAAGCTGTTTATAGGATGCTGGCCGTCATCCTCTTATTGTTTCTTGCCTTAAAAACATCGGGTATTGAACTGACGTTTGAATTACCTGACAATGCGAATCAGTGCTTCTTTGAAGAAATCAAAGCTGGAGAAGATTGTATGATAGAATTCCAGGTACGCTTATTACCCATCTGTTTTCTACCAATTTGATGTTAGATGCTCAGTTCTTTTTCTTTTCTTCGCTCTAAACAGTAAGTTACTGCAGAAATGGAAGCGTGTGTCCTTCCGACTTTATTTTTATTTCTTTTTCAGGTAGTTACCGGTGGACAGTATGATGTAGACATGTCCTTGGAAGACCCTAATGGGAAAGTTTTATATAAAGATGTCAAGAAACAGTATGATAGTTTCAACTGGAAGTCAGAGGTAAACAAACAAAAAAGGTTCTTCAAACCCGTTTCTACATTTTTATTTAGGTAGCTGGCACGTACAAGGCATGCTTCTCTAATGAATTTTCTACTTTCTCTCACAAGATTGTTTATATGGACTGGCAAGTAAGACTTTTGTCAATGCTTCGAAATTTTCATGCTATTCTCCTATGTTTCTTCGGTGATCGCGCATTATTTAGGTCGGTCCACCTGATCAACATAACAAAGTACCAGCTTCGTCTGATCATGCTATGACTACTCTTGAAAATTCTGCTGTTGCTATAGCCGACAAATTGCGAGTAGTGAGTGTTTCCAATTCCTTATGTTTTTTTTTGTTCATAATTTCATCGATGGTTATTGATACTGAAAGGTGAAACTCTTTATTTTCATATAGAACTTTATTTATGCAAGATGGTCCTTGTACGCTATGAGTTGGTCAAAGAATATGACTAGCTTTGATGTGTTCTTCCTTTTTCCGTTGTATCTCATATAGACTTGAAATCAAACTAGCTCAATTTCTGGATAGGCTTCGCAGTTTTCTTTTTCTCGCTTTTCAAAATATTGATTCAGTATGTTTCGTATAGATTTCGTTCTGATAAATACAAGTTCCTTTGAAGGTGGATGACTATCAAACGCATCACCGTCTGCGCGAAGCTACAGGCAGAAAGCGGGCAGAACAGTTAAACGAGCGTGTGTTATTATGGAGTTTGGGCCAAACATCTCTCATCATTCTCATTGGAATTGCTCAGGTTCGAATATATTGTGGTTCGAATTTTTTAGAGGTATATATCTGGTGTCTACATGTTTGATTTATTGAAATTTTCCAATTCTCTATATATAATGCAGATAATCAACAAATTCTCTCCTTGCCATACTTGAAAAACTTATAGTAGAAGATTAGGAATCAGAGGATTCCGTCATATTGCTTGGTTTTGTTTGAATGAGGACATTATCAGGGAATACGTTTTTTTTCAACATGTTCATTCCTAGTTTGTACTGTATTACCAGATGCGAACAGGTTAGAAGGGGCATATTTTTGGGCAAAAAGCGCGTTTACCAATACCCTCATGTTGAAGAGATCATTAACGTGTTTCAAGCCGGACTCATTGTTAACGCAAGCTTGCGTGTAAAAATTGCCTGTGGGTAGGTTCAGCAATGATTTTACGAGGTTTGCTAATTCTGGAGACTTTGAGAGCTGAAAGTTTTCTTTGAACTTTGAATCTCATGTATATGCGACATGTAGCAATTGTGTACCGTCCCACTCAGCTTCACCCCAGATTCAGCTTTGTAGTGATTGACAACTTTTTCAGTGTCGGTTTTTTTTAGAATTTTACTCCAGAAGTTGCTTCAGTTAGTAAGAATCAATCGCGGTGCTACTGGGACGCAATTGCGGCACGTTTGTGGAATAAGGGATCTCATTGAACTTTGTGCATATGTGGTTAATTAATCGCTCCATTAGAATAATAGCAAGTCAGCTCAGCGAATACATTGTGTTTCATAGAAATTGTTCGCAGCATGCAAAGCACACTGGCGCTCACTACTAATGAAATAAGTTTTGCCCTTTTTTCGCTTATTGGTGTTTTTCCATAGGGTAGCGTCCTCAGCTTAGCGAACAAAACGTTGAAAAGTATTCATTTTTAGAGTCATACAAAATCGCTGAACGTTAATATAATGTTTTCTGTGGCGTTTCTGAAATCTCTAGTAAAATAGATAATGGATGTTTTTTGAATATCTGATGTCCTTCCTTCGAACTTGGGCTTTCATCAACCAGTGTTTTTACTTATTGTCCCAAGCAATTCAACATGTAAATGCTTATGCGCTAATTTAGTAGCAACATTCTTTTTTTAGCTTTCATTACAATAGTTTTTTTTT